TTTTTTTTTTTTTTTTTTTTTTGTATTTTTAGTAGAGATGGGGTTTCACCATGTTGGCCAGCTGGTCTTGAACTCCTGGCCTCAAGCCATCTGCCCTCCTCAGCCTCCCAAAGTGCTGGGATTACAGGTGTGAGCCACCATGCCTGGCCACAACTTTGGCTATTTATTTATTTATGACATGGAGTCTTGCTCTGTTGTCCAGGCTTGAGTACAGTACTACTCAGTTCACTGCAATCTTCACCTCCCAGGTTCTAGCAACTCTCCTGCCTCAGTCTCCCTAGTAGTTGGGACATAGTTGCACACCATCACACCCAGCTAATTTTTTTGTATTTTTAGGAGAGATGGGGTTTCACCATATTGGCTAGGTTGTTCTTGAACTCCTGGCCTCAAGTGATCCACTGGCCTCGGCCTCCCAAAGAGAGGAAGCCATGAGCCACCATGCCCGGCCAACTTTGGCTTTTTAGAAAAAAGGGAAAAATAAAATATTCACCAGGTCACTGTTGGCTACCCTGGGAAATGCTTCCCTGGTCCATACTGGAGGGTCCTTTGGAGTTTGTTTTGGACAGGGCACATGCTTCTCCCTGCAGGGCAGCTTCACTCCTGGCTAGGAGATTTCAGCCACTGTGGTCCAGCAGGTGAAAGGCTGCCAGTGCTTAGGGGCTGCCCATCCCAGGCCATGTTGATGCCCATCCACAGACCCCCCAGGAACCTGCTGGGCTGAGAGGTTTCTTTGCTCCCTGTTACTTGGGAAGAGGTCTGTGTCCCTAGGAACACTTCCTGGGAGGTGTTGTCACCTAGTGGCTGCCTGGGGTACTTCAGTGGAATCTCTGGCGTGGTCTCACTTGCATCTTCACCCTCCCCAACACCTCCCAAACCCCTTCCTGCCAAACCTGCTTCTTCATCTTACCCCTGCATTCCTTGTCAGGGAAGCTGCCTATTGTCAATGATCACGATGAACTGGTGGCCATCATCGCCCGCACCGACCTGAAGAAGAACCGAGACTACCCTCTGGCCTCCAAGGATTCCCACAAGCAGCTGCTGTGTGGGGCAGCTGTGGGCACCCGTGAGGATGACAAATACCGCCTGGACCTGCTCACCCAGGCAGGCGTCGATGTCATAGTTTTGGTAAGGTCCCGCCTGGGCGGTGGGGAAGGTGGTTGGGTGGTTCAGCAGAGTGGAGGTTCATGAGGACCCAGGTTCACCTGTGATTAATCCTGTGCCCCTCCCTTGCTACTCTTCATCTCTGCTTCCAAGTACTCCCTGGTGTCAGAATTAGAAGTGCCTGCGGCAGGATCACCTGAGCTCAGGGGTTCAAGGTCATAGTGAGCTAGGATCGTGCCACTGCACTCCAGCTTTGGGGACAGAATGAGACCATCTTAAAAAGCAAACAATGGTTTGTGTCGTCTGAGATACAAAGAAAGAAAACAAGCAAGTTAAAATTCTCCAATGGCACAGTCACAAGAAAGAATGAAACTCTGTCCTTTGCAGCAACATGGACGGAGCTAGAGGCCATTATCTTTAGTGAACTAACTCCAAAGCAGAAAACCAAATACTGCATGCTCTCACATATAAGAAGGAGCTAAACAGAGGGCACACATGTTCATTAAGATGGAAATAATACATACTGGGGACTCCAAGATGGGTGAGGCTGGGAGGGGGAGGAAGGTTGAAAAATTTCTCATCAGCCACAGTTTTCACTATGTGAGTATTAGGTACCCTGGAAGCCCAGCTCTCACCAGTATGCAGTATGCCCATTTAACCAGCAAGCACAAGTACACACTGAGTCTTTGAAAAAATGACAAATTGCTGTAAGCAACAAAGCAAATCAAGACTACCCCCCAGCAAAGGGAAGTGGAATGAGGATAAAGGCTTATGATCCCCTTGTGAGTGATCTGGACCATACATCTAGATTTATCTGTATTCTAGGACTGGCAGGAAAATAACAATAGGAGGGTCACTGGGACTCTCTCAGCAGCTCACAACAGACTGCAAACAAAGGCCTCTGAGGGCCTTCTTGGCTCATAAGTTGACCCTAATAACTTAGCTCGTGTTCACTGAGAACTGCCTGTTTCCCGGGCACTGCGTCAAGACCTTTATGTATATCAGCTCCTTAAGGGACAGTCGCCATTTTGTTTTCAGATGAAGAAACAGGCTTAAAGAAGATAAATCATTTCATTTGGTTAGTGACTTGGTGGGAAGAGGATACGGCTCCAGGCAGTTTCTCCTTGCTGTAAGGATCAGTCTGTACAGTGAATATGGAAAGCCTTATCGGCCAGGTGCTGTGGCTCATGCCTGTAATCTCAGCACTTTGGGAGGCTGAGGCAGGTGGATTACCTGAGGTCAGGAGTTCGAGACCAGCCTGACCAACATGGAGAAACCCCATCTCTACTAAAATTGCAAAATTAGCCGGGCATGGTGGCGCATGCCAGTAACCCAGCTACTTGGGAGGCTGAGGCACGAGAATTGCTTGAACCCGGGAGGCAGAGGTTGTGGTCAGTCGAGATCGTGCCATTGCACTCCAGCCTGGGCAACAAGGCAAAATTCTGTCTCAAAAAAGAAAAAAAAAAATTAAGGCCGTATCTGCTCTAAAACTACATTAGTGGTGGTTAACCTTTTGGGGACGTAGTCCCCTTTGAGAATCAACTGAAAGTTGTTAAGTGAATTTCCAGGGAAAAAAAAAAAAAACAAAAACGGAAGGAAAGAGGATTCTCATAACAGTTTGCACAGGATTTTAGGGGTTCATCCACTCGGGCTCTCCCTCCTGCCTTGAGAGTCCTCAGCTGTCTAAGTCCAAGCTTTTCCATCCCTTCTCACAGGACTCGTCCCAAGGGAACTCGGTGTATCAGATCGCCATGGTGCATTACATCAAACAGAAGTACCCCCACCTCCAGGTGATTGGGGGGAACGGTGAGTGCAGGGTCGCCTCTCTCCTCGCTGCTCCTGCCCCTCCACTGAGTAACCCTTTCCTGCCCTTCAGCTTCCCTAGGTGATGGCATGGCTTCTGGCATGGGCGGCAGGGAACATGATGGGCTTTGGTCACCATAAGGGGGCTGGAGGTGCTACCTGGGGTCCCAGGAAGCCATTGGGCAGGCAGGGGCCTCCCATCCTCACATTGTTTCTCTGCCCCTTCCCACCTCCAGTGGTGACAGCAGCCCAGGCCAAGAACCTGATTGACGCTGGTGTGGACGGGCTGCGCGTGGGCATGGGCTGCGGCTCCATCTGCATCACCCAGGAAGGTGGGTGTCAGGAGGTGAGCGAGTGCCCGCTGGCCTGGGGGCCTCGCCCTTGTTCCCCAGCTGCATATCGAGTGCTGTCTCTGCCAGGCCCTGTTCTGCCATGGTGGGCTCTGGGGTGACCCAGGCATGGACCCCACCGTCGGGCCTACTGACTTAGGGGAAGGCAGGTGTAAGCAGGATGAGAGAGCTCCAGCCTACTTCTCAGAGTGCGGTCAAGGCGGCCCCACCTGGGGCCTGGGGCTGGTGTGACTGTCCAAGGGGCTTGTTGGAAGCTCAGAGTTTGATTCGATTTGTGACAAGATAGAGACAACGTGTTCCTGAATACGTAAGGATATATTATACACCGCATCACCGTGAGGTTGGGGGGTGGGGAGCTCACCCAATTACAAAGCCCTTTTGCAGGGTGGGTTCCTGAACACGAAGGGGGAAGGAGGGCCCTGACATGTGGTTATTAAGGAGGTACTTCCTGGAGGCTGGTGTCTGACTTGTGGGGTGGCTTCCTGGAGGACTGGGGTCCTGGCTTGGCCTGAGGAGATGCACTCGGCCCCTCCTGTGAGGGTCATTTCTCCAAAACACTGAGTGATGCCTTTGGCCTTTGCTGCCCTAGACACCTCTCCCTGTTGGTCTTCAGAGCCTCTGCTTTTTAAGTTAGTGCCCTTCGCCTTAGCTGACCACCATGATGAAATGAGGACCCTTTCAGGCACCGTTCAAAGCCTTAGGGTAGAGTAGGGACAAAATAAATGAGAGGCTCCATCTCTGATTTATCCAGCTTTGCATCCATCCCTAGAGAGGTGCTGGTTCATTTCAGTCCCCACCTAAACCTGCCACTGAAGGACCTTGGACAGTTAGACTTAAAGAAATACAAACCAGTATCCCAAAGGGGACCATAGTACCTAACCCTAGTAACAGTTTTTGCAAACAAAAGCCTTGAAGGGGAACTTGTGCCTTGGGAGCAGGTGGCGCTGGGGTCACCTGTCTTGGGGTGACAGGCTCTGAAAGCCACTTCTGATTCCCCCATCAGAATCCCCTGCCATGCTCTTAGGGGAAGGGTGGCCCAGATCCCTGGAGTGATATTCACCCTGGTGTTATGTGCCAGCACCCATGTTATGCCTCAGAAACACCGTCCAGCCCTGTCCCTTTTCCCAAGTAGAGGTGGTGCACGGGAGGAAGAGCTGGCCTGGCCCTGTGCCTGGCCCTGGAGCTGCCATTGACTCTTCTCTGCCTTGTGCACTCCACCCTCCCCCAGTGATGGCCTGCGGTCGGCCCCAGGGCACTGCTGTGTACAAGGTGGCCGAGTATGCTCGGCGCTTTGGTGTGCCCATCATAGCTGATGGCGGCATCCAGACCGTGGGGCACGTGGTCAAGGCCCTGGCCCTTGGAGCCTCCACAGGTGAGGGGAGAATGTGCTGGGGATTGAGCAGGTGGGGGCAGTAGGAGGGCTGTGGGCTGGAGGCACTAATCCCTTGCCCACTGTAGTGATGATGGGCTCCCTGCTGGCTGCCACCACGGAGGCCCCTGGTGAGTACTTCTTCTCAGACGGAGTGCGGCTCAAGAAATACCGGGGCATGGGCTCGCTGGATGCCATGGAGAAGAGCAGCAGCAGCCAGAAACGATACTTCAGGTGCCCTGCCCCTGGGCCCCACCTGGGCAGATCAGCCCACAACCCTTCAGGGCCACCCACACCACTGACTTCCCCAGATGGCAGCCAGTCCTATATGGTGGTTCTGGAAACTGAGGCACAGGGGATAAGTAGTAGATACAGGCTCTGTCCTTGGGCCACCTGACTCAGGGCTACCTGTCCAGCAAGGAGCAGCCTGGGGGACACTCCTGGGCAGTATCCTCTGAGCTTGATTCCCCCATCAGAATCCCCTGTGGTGCTCTTAGGGGTGAGCTGGCCCCTAATCTGACTGGGTGGGGTCCTCTGAGTGTCACGCTGCTGGGCTCAGTCTTCCACCCTCCACGCAGCGAGGGGGATAAGGTGAAGATCGCACAGGGTGTCTCAGGTTCCATCCAGGACAAAGGGTCCATTCAGAAGTTCGTGCCCTACCTCATAGCAGGCATCCAGCATGGCTGCCAGGATATTGGGGCCCGCAGCCTGTCCGTCCTTCGGTGAGTGCTGAGACTGGGGGCGGCTCCTGCTTCCTTTCTCTCTCTCTTCTCCACCCTTGGTGGCCTTGACCTGCTCCACCTCACTGCCTCCCAGGTCCATGATGTACTCAGGAGAGCTCAAGTTTGAGAAGCGGACCATGTCGGCCCAGATCGAGGGTGGCGTCCATGGCCTGCACTCGTAAGTGTGTGGCCTCCTCGCTCTCACCTGCAGGCAGCGGGTTGGGCAGGTGGGGCCAAGGTTCTGAGGCCAAGCTGAGGTTCCAGGGACCCCATGGACCACCTGTAGCAGGGATAGATACTGCTACAGGATGGCGCGTCGCCCTCTCCTCCAGGGCCCAGCCCCCTGTTCCTTGTCTTCTAGCCCCCATGCAGGCAGGCCCTCCCCTCCTTTGGGGCCTCTCCCGAGCAGGGCACAGGAAGTATGGCCACTCACTGCATCTGGACTCCCAGCCCTTGCTTGCTCAGGAAGCTTGGTGGCTGGTGGTAGGGCTGGTGGTGCTGGGCTCTTGCTGGTGGTGGCACCAGGCAGGCAGGCAGAAGATGGGGGTATGACCCCTCTGGCGGGGACAAGGGCAGAGAGACGGATGCCAGGGCTGGCACTGGGGCATCCATGGGCGGGGGCAGTGCTCATTGGCAGCAGTAGTTGCAGGCATGTGCCCCGCCCTGGTCAGGAGCCCTGTCCCCAGGCATCAGCGGGTGTCTAACCTGTGTCTCTTTCCGCCCCACCCTCCCGTAGCTATACCTTTCTGCCGTGTAAGTAACCGCGCTGCCCGGGCCAAGCGTAGAGTAGAGCAGGGGCAGTCTGGGTGGGACCTGGGCTTGTGGGGGGGGGGTGGGTACTGGGTGAGGGTGGGAGGGCGCTGGGGTGTGGTCATGAGACTTGGACCCCGGGTTGGCCCCCCAGTCCCCTATATCCAGCACCATGGTGGAAGAAACCAGCGGTGGCCACTCATCCAGCTGAAACACAGATCCCTTTCTGGCTGCAGAGAGACACCCGTGAGCTCAGGCCTAAGGCTGCCCCATCTTAGACTGGACCCGGTGACCACGAGCAGTCTAGGCCACTGGGCCTGCAGAGCTGGGGCTGGGGCTGGGGGCAGACACGGGCAGCAGAGGTTGGGCTCCAGGTCGGAGCTTGCTCCATGAGGATGCGCCGTGCCTGTCTGAGCTGTCTCTCCACCCCGTGCACTGAGGACAGTCCACTCAGATGTGGTGATGGCCCAAAGGAACCCAGCATGGCTCTCCAGGGAACAGTGGCCTGGGGAGGATAGGCCCAGGGCCTGCTTGAGGCCCTCCTCCCGCCCCTTACGGCTGAGATCCCAGGGCTCCTCAGCTCTCTGCTCTCTCCCGCATCTGTGGGCCCTGGGGAAAGGGTTTTGGGAGGGAGCAGGATCCACACACCCACGCTGGTTCTCCCTCTTACCTTGTCCCCACAGTTACGAGAAGCGGCTGTACTGAGGATAGCAGCGGAGGCCGAGGTGGCAGAGGGGGCACACCCCAGTGTCTGCCTTCAGACGCAGCCTCCCTCCATAACTGAGTGGTCCACAGATTTGCACTACGGGTTCCCCAGCTCCTTTCCAGGGAGAGAGGGGGGGAGGCCCTGAGGGGCCTGCGGCCCCTCGCTGGGCATCCCCCACAGAGTCAGGACTGCTCCCTGGGTCAGGCTGCCCTGGGAGCCCCCCGCCCGAGCCCAGCCAGCCGGGATCTCAGGCCCTGTGCCTGCCTCAGGTCTTTCTTGCTGCAGCCTGCTCCAGCCCAGCCCCCACCCCAGGGGCAGGCAGCCCCTCCTGGCTTCTCCTGTAGGGCACCTCCCTGCCCCCAGCCCCTTAGGAAATGGTGCTCTCCTGGCCCTGCCTCTGGCCTTTCCTGGGCCGCTGCCCCCTCAGCCATGTGGCACTTCTGAGCTCCTGACCTAGGCCAAGGGGAGGTCTCTGCCCCCTTCCCAGGCCCTGGGCTACTCTTGGGTCCTGCTCCTGAGGCCACTCCCCTGTCCCTGGCCCTGGGGAGGAGGCTGCCCTGGTCATGGCTGCCTGCCCGTCATTCCTGACTCACCATCATCCCCAGGTGTACCATTCCTGCCCTCTCCTCAGCTGCAGTTGAAGGCTTTAACTTTGCACACTTTGGGATTACAATTGCGTCATTGCATATTAAATAATCGGAATAAATCAAGCAGGTCTCAACGTCTCCACCATCCTCTGTGTCCCCTGTCCATTGGGTGGCTGGAGCCCCATCAGAGTTGGGCTGGGGAATGTGGCACCAGGCCCTGTGTCCCCAGGAAGGTGATGAGGGCATTGCAGTAGTGCGGGCAGCATGGGGGGGTGCTGGCACAGGTGGGGCCTACGTTGGGAGGTCTCCCAGGCTTGTGCCACACTGGCAAGTTCACCTGCTGCAAGCTGGTCAGCAACTCCCAGCCAGGCAGCATTGTGGAGAGTCATCACGGCGGTAGAATTCCAGTGTTGGGGACTCACAGTTGGCTGCCAGTATGCCCATCACAGCCTCATAATGCCATGTGGTACAGCTAGGGCACAGGTGGAAGGACAGCATGGCCAGGGCGTGTGGTCTCATCTGCCAAAACACACCTGTAGGTACAAAGCAGAGTAGGTCAGCTCCCACTGCTCATATGCAGCTCAGGACCCACCTCCCAGCCTCCACTCCTCCTGGTGGAGACACCTCTGTCACATGGACTGCTGAATACCCCGTAGAGTTGAGGGGTTTTGGAACATTCACATTGCCTTCCTGTGCCTCTGTGCTTGGGCAGTGGGCACAAAGCTGTCCATTGAAGGTACAGACACCACTCAAGTGGGCAGAGGCAGGGAAGGTGGCCGGGGATGCTCGGGCAGCAGGAATGAACAGGCCAAGGAGAAGATCTGGATACACTCCTGTGGCTAAGGGAGGGCCCCTCAGCTCCCTGCTGGCATGCCATGCCAACACCTGCCCTTTCCCAGGCCTCTTTGGCCCAGAGAGCCATGTGCTCAGGGCCCAGCCTTTCACTGCATCATTTTTTAGCTTTGTGCTCCCAGGGACAAGAAGGAAAGAGCTGGACAGCAGGAGTATCAGGTGGGCTTAGAGCTGGTTCAACATCTGCTCCAGTTGTTGCAAAGTGAATGGGTCATTGACAGTCCCGGGAGGCCTTGTGCCCTGGTGTCTTGATGAGGACCTGAGTCAGAGGGGTAACCCAGCTGGGAGCGGGGGACAATGCCCAGGTCCCAGGAGATGGGACGGACCAAAATGGCCACGTTCCATGGTCTGTCTTGTGCATTGGTTTACAAAAATCAATGGCAGCTTGGCCAGCCATTGAGATGGGAAAGATCTAAGGGTTTTCAGATAAATGCCAAGTCACTCTGAATCCGGGACCTGAGAGGTTCAAAGGGAGAAGTTCCCTTTTGAACTAAACCTAGTTGGTCAATAGAGCTGACCAACAGGATGGATTACTGTAAGTAATCTCCCCCTTACTTGAGGTATGGTAGCATTAGCATGGCCCTTCTAGAGGAGGTTTAAAAACAGTGGCCCTGGAAGTTTGGTGCATGTCAGAATCACCTGAAGAGCTTGTAACAAACAAGCCCTAGGCTTGCCATAGGAGGATCAGCTCGGGGCCTCTGGTTGCTACTCAGCCCGCCAATTCTGGCACGTACTAAAGTTAGAGAATTATTGTTTTAGAGGAATTCTGTGCATCTAGTTACATGGTCAGAGACTTGCCACAGCACGTGTCCTAAGCAAAGCAGATGACACAGCACCCACCTCCAGACTTCATTGCCAAGGATTCCGTGAGAACATGGAAGGTTACAGGTGCTCAGTAAATGAGTCTTTTTTTCTTTCTTTCTTTCTTTTTTTTTTTTTTTTTTTTTGAGACGGAGTTTCGCTCTTGTTACCCAGGCTGGAGTGCAATGGTGTGATCTCGGCTCACTGCAACCTCCGCCTCCTGGGTTCAGGCAATTCTCCTGCCTCAGCCTCCTGAGTAGCTGGGATTACAGGCACGCGCCACTATGCCCAGCTAATTTTTTGTATTTTTAGTAGAGACGGGGTTTCACCATGTTGACCAGGATGGTCTCGATCTCTTGACCTCGTGATCCACCCGCCTCGGCCTCCCAAAGTGCTGGGATTACAGGCGTGAGCCACCGCGCCCGGCCTCTTTCTTTCTTTCTTTTTTTGAGACAGAGTCTTGCTCTGTCACCTGAGGTCAGGAGTTTGAGACCAGCCTGGCCAACAATGGTGAAACCCTGTCTCCACTAAAAATACAAACATTAGCTGGGCGTGGTGGCGGGTGTCTGTTGTCTCAGCTACGCAGGAGGCTGAGGCATACAGTCACTTGAACCTGGGAAGTGAAGGTTGCAATGAACTGAGTTTGTACCACTGCACTCCACCCTGCTCTGTCCCCCAGGGTGCAACAGAGATGGCTCCACGGCTACCCCCTGATGTGAGGGTAACTTGACTCTCCTGCACCACACACCTGCACTGCAGCTGGGCCTTCCAGGGTCTCCTGGCCCTACCTGCTACTCCTGCTCATGCCCCGGCTGGGACAAGGTTGGCTGCCTTGTAGCTGAGATTACAGGCACCCACCACCATGCCCAGCTAATTTTTGTATTTTTAGTGGAGACAGGGTTTCACCATGTTGGCCAGGCTGGTCTCAAACTCTTGAACTCAGGTGATCCACCCACCTCGGCCTCCCAAAGTGCTGGGATTACAAGTGTGAGTAAATGAGTCTTACTGTGTCTTATGGGTCCTCCCCTTGCCTGGGCGGTAAACTCATGTAAGTGTGGACCCAGGCAACACACTCACTCTGTGTTGTAATTTCAGCCACAGTGTAGGAGGCTCAAGTGGGACAAAGGGAGGGAGACTCTGGGTAGGAAGGCCACAGCAGGTGGATGTTCAGAGGCAGCCCAGAACCACATTTGGGAGAAATGCGGATCAGAGCTGCCTCGGTCAGCAGAACTACCTGCCCACCTGGAGTCCAGCCAGGTCTGTGCAGCACAGGCAGCCCTTCACCCCTCCCCGGCACACACAGCACCATGCAGTCCAGGCTGCCCACCACCAGGTTGCTGAAGATATGGCCCCACAGGTGCTGAACCGTGCTGCTGTGGTGCCCCAGGTCCCAGCTTGTGGGCAGCAGCATCTGTGCAAAGGTGTAGCCACCCAAGGAGAGGGTGCAGTGCCAGCAGGCGGCCAGCCAGTACCCTAGGGCCACTGCATCAACACCAGCATTCAGGCAGCCCGCACCAGGCCACCTCAAAGGAAATGGCTCAGTGCACTCTCCCAGCCAGCGTGTCAAAGCTGCTGGCCAGGTGGAGCTGCAGGGACTTGGCCTAGGCAGCCACCCTTGCACCCCGGCCAGGGCAGGAGCAGGAGCAGCAGGTAGGGCCAGGAGACCCTGGGAGGCCTGGGCTGTAGTGCAGGTGTGTGGAGCAGGAGAGTCAAGTTACCCTCACATCAGGGGGTGGCCGTGGAGCCATCTCTGGTGCACCCTGGGGGACCAAGAGGAGGTGGAGGAGGAGTGGGCGGCCTGCGCCTCCGGCCTCACCTTCCCCCAGGCTCCAAGGACTGAGAACGGGGCCCTCAAATGGCATGACGCAATTCAGGGGGACCGGACTAGCCCTCTGAGACTCCTTTCAGCTTCTGTGGTACCAGTGCCAATCAGGAAGTGGGCAGTCAGCCTGGAGGGGAGGCAGGGGCAGAGCCCAGCTGTGAGCCACTCAGCTGCCCTGTCTCTCCCTCCACCCCTTTCCTCACATCCGGAGTTGGGGCTGGAGAGGAAGAGAGGACCTAGCCGTTGGGGCATGGCGGGCTGGGGGAGGTGGCTCCTCCCTCTGCCCTTCCTTGGAACTTTTTATTCTTGCAGGATCCCTTCTGGCTTGTAAGGGCCAAATTCCCACCTCAGCCTCTCTGGTCCCACTATAGCCTGACACTCAGACTCAGCTAATCAGGAAGTTGGGAGGCCAACTTTGCCCACCTCACTGTAACCCTGAAGCCCTCCTACCTCCTGCTGAGGAGAGCTTGGAGGCAGGGAATACCAGGCAGAGGGCAGTGACTGGGTCAGAGCCTCCAGCCCCATGTGGCCTCTTCTAGGCCAGAGCACCCAGCCCCACCTCTCACACCTGTTGTCCTCAGGGCAGGGCTTCTCACCTGCAGGGCGCAGACATCACCATCACCGGCCTCCTCCTTGCTTACCCTCCTGGCTCAGCTCAGCAGGGAAAACAGGTCCCCTCTTCTGGGGTCAGGGACCCAGGAGACCTGGTCCCCAGCCTCCTGCTCCACCTGCTCTTAAGCCCATTGACAACATCAGCTTCTGGGGTGAGGGCCAGGGTGTCGGCTCCCAAATCAATTTCATCTTCCACCCCCATCCCAGCCTAGCTAGAGTTGGAGAGGAGGTATCTGGATAACAAGATGTGGTATTAGCCTGGAATAGGTAAAGACCAGCCTTTTGCTCACCCCGTGCCTCGGTTTCTCTACTTGTGCTCCTAAAAGGGAAAGAGGCACACTCCCAACCCCAGGCATCCCAACTTCAGATATTTCACTTCCCCCTTCACCTTTCAGGGCAGGCTGACCTCAGGGTGGCCAAGTCCAGAGGCTGCCTCAGGTGGGTATTGGACTCAGGAGTCCTGGTTTCATAGCAGGCACCTTTCTGCTTCTCCCTCTTCTGCCAGTGGACAGGACGATCTGAGGCTCCAAGGGCTTCACCTGGCAACTATCAAGTGGATAGGAAGGTTCTCCCCAGAGAAGAAAAGGGGACTCAGGTCTAGGAGCAGCAGGAGCTGAGCGGCTCACCACGAGGGGATGTTGCACCAGGGACCTTGCTGTGGCCCACATGTCACTCTCCCACCTCAACTTTAACCTCTTCATTTCCATGGCTCCCTCCCTGTGGAAAGCCGGGTAGTGGGAAACAAAGGTCCCCGGGCAGTGGGAAACAAAGTTTCCAAGTGGATTGCAAGCCTGGGGAAATCAATTAGGGACAGACACCCTCGGACCCCAGGCTCCCAGGAGGCCTGCTTCCCTGTCCTCTTTCTTTCTGTGTAGAGAAGGACATCGCTCCCATCCTCCACAGTGCTTCCAACTCCTTCCCATGCCTTTAATCTCTGGGAAAATATGGGGGCAAAAGGAGCAAAGACCTTTTATGTGGAGATGTTGGGGGGCAGAAGGAGAAGACGAGTGTTCCCTGCCCCAGGCTGCGGGACTCTGGGTCTGGGAGCTTCAGACGCA